TTGGTGTCGTTAATGCAGTAACAGTAGCAGGTCGAAGGCTCAAGAGTAGCTGTTCTACTTAAAGTACGATTAGTAGCAACAGCAGCCATCTACGTCTAGTGGCCCCAGGCGGGAGATCAGCTGCAGCACGAGCAGCGCATAGGCTTCTTCGACACAACATCTACGAAAGTTAAGCTACCTGACCCTGCGCTGCATATGATAGTATACATGCATCATATGAACCCGAGGAATAGCATTGAGAACGTGCACGCCTTCTTTATTGTGATTTCGGGGGCTTGAAGTCCAGTCCTCAATGAGATTCCAGCCAGGCTCGCCGCGCACAAGGACGCGACCACATGGACCAGGATCGCCAATCCCAGCGCCAATCTGCCTGGAGCGCCATCGCTTGTTGTCGGGGCAGTCAGCAAGGGATTGCTTGTGGCCTTCCCGCGTGTGGATGATGTGGTAGCCCTTCTGGCGGAGAGCTTGAAATACCACCTTCAATGGCTCGATAGGGGCTCGTGTCATCGAGATGTCGTAGCCCATGCTGTCAACGTAGCCCCCCTTACCACAAAAGTCGATTTGCATATCGATGGCCAGCAAAGCGGTCTTGTCGGGCTCCAGGCAGCCATCCAAAGGCCAGGGGGGGAATGCCGGAACCGCCATGGCCCAGCACTCAGAAGACCCTTCAATCTCTCCGTAAGCTTTATACAAAGCCTGCTTAATCCTATCACCTCAAAGAACAAGATCATCTAAACATGTTGGGGAAAGATACTTTCCCTAAAATGTTGACAGGTTTACAGCTTGAGATCTGCCAGCGACAAGTGGCTAACCCGAAGCAGGGCGCTTGGCACATGCAGCAACATTCTTTGCCCCGATGACAACTGACAAGATGACGTCTTCAGCTAGAGCCAAAAGCAGTAAGTGAGCAAAACACTTGTCTTCAGCATGCTCGCACAACCACATCTTGTGATGCGTGCCGCCCTTCTACGCCAAAAAGGCCGCGCTGGCTGTGACACAACTGGACATGGAAATGGATGCGAAATGGGGCCTGGCCTTGCACTCCACGCCCTTCCCTCCGTTGAACCTAATATGGTACCCTAAATAGAAGGGTCCTTTGTATAGGGACCCCAAAGTAAGGTACCCCTAACTTTCGGAAACTCCCTCATGGATTCTGAAGGACAAGCTGGTGTCACAACAACCCTCTCGGCCGGGTGCATGTCGCCAGGAGGCTGGTGGGAGGTCAGTACTTTTGTGGAGATGCCGCCCGATGAGCCCTGCAATGGCCAAAGCCACGAAGGAAGCAAAGGATGACCCAAGCCAGCACACCACCATACATGAAGAACCGTTAAGCCCTTAAGAACCCTGAATACCTTACGAAAAACTAGTCTCGGAGCTAAACCTTTAAAACTTCTCAGAATACTGAAGATTCTTCCAAACTCGTCCATAAGGGCCTTTAAGAATTCTTGAAAATCATGCATGCTTGTAGATGTCGCGACCCAATAACTCTCTGCACACTGCATGGCTGTTGCTGGTGGCAAAAAAGGCCGGGTGGTAGAAGCGGGAGCAGCAGCACGTTTGGCAGCAGCAACAGCAACAGCAAGCGGTGGCAGGGGTGGCGACAGTCGTCCGTCCTCGTTTCTCGCTGTCGCAGCCCTAGGCGTCGTCCCCGTGGCAGTGGAGTAGTAATTACGAGTGCTAGTAGCGGTACTGGTACTAGGAGTAATACCTCAAATCAGTAATGCCAGCAGTGCTCGTCGTACTGGTAGTGGGACTCGAAGCACTGGTAGTACTAGCAATACGAGCAGCAGTCGTAGCAGCAGAAGGAGGGGTCGTCGTCGTGGTGGTGGTTGCAGGGGCAGTGGCAGTGGCAGGGGAGCAGTAGGAGCAGTTGGTACAGTAGGAGCAGTAGGAGCAGTACGAGCAGTAGGAGCAGTAGTTTCTGTCACCCAGGTAAAAGTAGTAGTAGTAGTAGTAGTAGTAGTAGTAGTAGTAGTAGTAGTAGTAGTAGTAGTAGTAGTAGTAGTAGTAGTAGTAGTAGTAGTAGTAGTAGTAGTAGTAGTAGTAGTAGTAGTATAGTAGTAGTAGTAGTAGTAGTAGTAGCAGTAGTCGTAGCAGTAGTCGTAGTAGTAGCCGTAGTAGTAGTCGTAGTAGTAGTAGCAGCAGTAGTAGCACCAGTAGACAGTAGTAGTAGTAGCAGCAGTAGCAGTAGCAGTAGCAGTGGCAGTGGCAGTAGAAGTAGTAGTGTGATGAATAATTTTCATAGTCATGGCAGTAGCAGCAGTAGTAGTTCATGTAGCAATAAGAGTAACAATAAGGAAAATAGCACTAGCAATAATAATTCTTTTCGCAATGGTCGTATTAGTACTACTAGTACGAGTACCAGCACGAGTATGACCACGAGTACTGGCACCAGTACTAGTGCTAATACTAGCACTAAGCAGTCGCAGTAGCAAAAGCAGCAGCGGCTGTAGTAGTAGTCGTAGCAGTTGTGGCAGTAGTGGTAGCAGTAGTGGCAGCAGTAGCAGTAGCAGTAGCAGTAGCAGTAGCAGTAGCAGTAGCAGTAGCAGTAGCAGTAGCAGTAGCAGTAGCAGTAGCAGTAGCAGTAGCAGCAGCAGTAGCAGTAGCGATAGCAGTAGTAGCACCGATAGTTTTTTGTAGTAGTAGCAGTGGCAATAACCCATTGAACCCATTTGTACCCGCTAGCGCTGTAAAGAGGCAGTTCTTCTCAATCTCAACTCTTCTTTTTTGCGATGTAAACTTAAGTTTCTTCTCAATCTCAAAGCTTCGCCTGAACAAAGCAAAATTTTGCTGGTGTGGAAGGGCACCACCTTAGTCATGCCGCCAGCTACCGTGTTTCATCTGTCAAAGTCCCATGAAGAGCCGTGACAAGCTTCTTCGCAGATGCAGCATAGCGCGCAAACGTCAGTCTGACATGATTTTCAGCATGCTCAACCAAGCAGAAGAAACCATTAGCAGTATGAGGCTTGCTTTAGAAAAGCTCTAAAAGTCTAACGTCCACTCACCAAAGTCCGAAGCGATTGCAACGACGGACCGCAGTCCGGGAATAGTAGGAGGTATAGTAGGAGTAGTAGTAGTCGTCGTCGTCGTCGTAGTAGTAGTAGAAGTAGTAGTCGTCGTGGTGGTGGTGGTGGTAGTAGAAGAAGAAGTAGTAGTAGTAGTAGTGGTAGTAGTAGTAGTAGTAGTTGCAGTAGCAGTAGCAGTAGCAGTAGCAGTAGCAGTAGTAGTAGTAGTAGTAGTAGAAGAAGTAGTAGTAGTAGTAGTAGTAGTAGTAGAAGTCGTAGTAGTAGTAGTAGTAGTAGTAGTAGTAGTTGTAGTTGTAGTAGTAGTAGTAGTGGTAGTAGTAGTCATGGTGGTGGTGGTGGTGGTGGTGGTGGTGGTGGTGGTGGTAGTAGTAGCAGTAGTAGTAGTAGTAGTAGCAGTAGTAGTGGTAGTAGTCGCCGTGATCCCCTAGTAGTGGTCGTCAAGTACCACGGCTACTACGCACTATTGTTGCTAGAGTGCTGGGTGGCAGCCGCCTCCAGGAGAACTGGGGCCCTCCGCCTCCTCTTGGCCGCCTGCCTCTTTAGGCTTTGGGGCTCCCAGAGAGCCCAATACCCCTTAATGAAGGAATATAGCTTAAAGCATAATATGAACCCCCTTATCGTTTAAGGTATATTCTTTAGAAACTGTAGTTAAAGCCAACTCCAAAAAAATCTACTTGGGTTTATGATGATGATGATGATGATAAGGCTGATGATTATGAGGATGATGATGAAGATGGTCAGATTAACGGTGATGTTGAGGATGGCAAGGATGATAGTTATGAAGATGACGATGATGAAGATGGTCAGTTTAACGATGATGCTGAAGATGGTGAGGATGATGATTGGGTGGGGCGCGCATCGGTTTCATCGATTTTTTCTGGGTTTTGTGTTTGCAGAGGCACTGCTGCTACTGCTGCTGCTGCTGCTGCTACCGGCGCCGGACCGAACCGTCGACCCACATCTTCTGCAGCCTGCACTGCACAATCATCCATCCCACCCAGCAGGAAAACGGACTTCAAAACCCAACAGGCGTAACGCAGAACTTACAATCTCTTGTGGATGAGTGTTGACATGCCAAACTGCAGCGGCCCGTCCTTCGACGTGATTATCACGACCACCTCTATATGCGCACCCTCTTGGTCCGGCGCCGCAGACACACCCAAGATGTGAATCCTTAATCAAGGAAGATGTGAACCCTTTATTAATTAAGGGGTATTGGGCTTCTGTCGCGTGTTGTGGTTTGGATTTTGCTTCCATCACTCCTGGCCCTGAAGGTACATGGAAGTTTCCGGAAAAAAAGGGACCCTAATACAGTACCCTCAATAGTAGGATCCTTATTGTAAGGACCCCGAAATAAGGTACCCTTCGGAAACTCCCACATGGTGTTGAGGCATCTTATCGGGCATCTGGCGCGCGGGCGTGGGGGCTAGAGCTTGCTGAAAACTTACCTTTGGTTAGTAGGGAATGGGGGAATGGGGTACAATATGGTACAATTATAACTACTATTACTACCATTCTTCCATTCCCTACTGACCAAAAGTAAACCCTAAACCCCTAAACCCTATAGAGCCCTTAAAGGATCCCTTTAAAGGAACCTATTACTACCATTCTTCCATTCCCTACTAACCAAAAGTAAGAAAAAGAGCTGGGCATGGTCATCGGAGCTTTGCCTCGTTGCCGTCAGCTGCGCTTGGATCCTGCGACCAAGAACCTTACCTTTGGCTAGTGGGGAATGGAAGACTGGTAGTCATAGGTTCCTTTAAAGGGATCCTTAAGGGATCTATAGGGTTTAGGGGTTTCGACGCTCACACTCACACGAGGCAGGCAAGGCTCCACATAGGGTTTAGGGGTTTAGGGTTTACTTTTGGTTAGTAGGGAATGGAAGAATGGTAGTAATAGTAGTTATAATTGTACCATATTGTACCCATTCCCTACCAACCAAAGGTAAGGAACAGCAACCACCACCACGAATACCACCGCCACCACCATCTGTGTGCGACTGCCGCGAATCCTACTCGACTACCGGTGCTACTGCTATCACCACCACCACCACCGCCACTGCCATTACCATCACGATCATAGTAAGAATAAGAGTAAGAGTCCAAATGAGAAAAAAGTAAGAGTAAGAGTGTAGGACTACTACTACTACTACTACTACTACTACTACTACTACTACTACTACTACTAAAACTACTACTACTACTACTACTACTACTACTACTACTACTACTACTACTACTACTACTACTACTACTCCTACTCCTACTCCTGCTTGCTGATGCTTCTGCTCCTGCTCCTGTTCCTGCTACAGTTGCCGCTGCTCCTACTGCTGCTCCAACTCCGAACTCCAACTCCTACTTCTATCACTACTACGACGACCACTACTTCCTCTGCTGCTCGTGCTGCTGCTACTGTAATGCTGCTGCTACTGCTACGACTTCTGCTTATAAGGGCGTGAAGTATCAGCACACTTGTGGCACCGATTGAAGAACTGAGCTTTGAGACATTGAGCTTTCACTAAGTCCCACAAGCAAGAGGAAGCGATGCGATTTGCCTCCTTGCTGTCGGTAGGGTGGCTCTCGCCGGAATCCTTGCCCAAGGCTGCGAAAACGCGAGTTT